GGGGGGGGGGGGGGGGGGGGGGGGGGGGGGGGGGGGGGGCTTGGATGTTATACTGCAGCAGTTTTATCCGCAAGTACAAGTCAACTCTCCACTCTTTTACAGTTACTCCCATAATCGTACCTAGCTCTTGCAGGCAAAAACGGCTGGATCATTGTCATTTCCCAAAATAAAGCAAGTTTGCAAATTTACCACATACAAAACACTATAATCAAAGATCAAAAGAAAAATAATAACCGTCTACGTTCCTTGGGTTTGATCTGACACGTGCTAGGTTCTTCCAACTTCTATACCATATAGTGACTCAAATAATTTAAAGCCAATGAAGTAAATCCTAGGGTTAACAAATATGAAATTAATTTGGGGGCACCTTTTGGATCGGAGAATTGGGTAGGGTTCCAAAGCCAAGGAGGAGGGGTAATCCCATCAATGAGAAGTTTAGAAGCAAGGTGTTGGTTGTAAAATTCCGTTCGCTGCTTGACTTGTTCGATAATCCCATTCTTCCGCTCGAAGATCTGCACCAACAGCTTCTCCACCGTCGTCGTCATCTCCATCTTATTCACACCGCCATTCGCTTCATACAATAATCCATACGCCAATATAAAATCTGATTATTATTGTTATCAATAAAATTGCGTGCGTTGTGTAAACGGTGATGAGCACGGATGGGATTTCAAATTTTTTACCGTGTGAAATGAATTGTCTAAAGTAACGAATAGGATGAATTATGGACCCGGAAATGTGGAGCGGGTCGGATGGCCCGCTATATCTTGGACTGATTTTCAAAGTCTGGATTGGGCTCTCCCAATAATTAGACTTGGGACCATAATGATTTAAAGTGGTTGATTGGCGCATCACCTCACCTTTGAGACCTATTATTCAAAAGAATAAGCGTGTGTTTGTTCCACATTTTTGCCTGACTAAAATGAGAAAATCGAACGTTAGTCTGACACCATGGGTCCTCCAGTGTAGTCCCATTTACTGTAGTTTTTACTCCCATTTTCCCACATATGCCCTTTGAATATTGAAAGGCGGCTGGAATCTTTCCTACTTTTTGTCCAATTCAATGAGGATAAAACGGGAAAGGTGTGGTAATTTATATACATTTGAAATGATAGCCATGCAGTCGGGCCCACCATGATTTGACATGAAAAATGCATTAGTAGGGTGAAAATGGGGATCAAACAGGTCCTAATTCTATTTGTAAACATAAAAATGTATCGAATTGTTTACCTCCTCTCACATGTACTCGAGATCCGCATGACTAAAAAAATTTCAAAATGTGGTCCCCATCCCCTACTATGAGCAGTCGGTAAGAGATTAGATAGTCGGGCCCACCATGATTTGACATGAAAAATGCATTAGTAGGGTGAAAATGGGGATCAAACAGGTCCTAATTCTATTTGTAAACCTAAAAATGTATCGAATTGTTTACCTCCTCTCACATGTACTCGAGATCCGCATGACTAAAAAAATTTCAAAATGTGGTCCCCATCCCCTACTATGAGCAGTCGGTAAGAGATTAGATAAAAAAAATTGGTACATGTAGAATCTTCCTCGTTCAAAATTCTCCCACCATTTGGAATTGGTAGAAAATGTTTCCATACGAAATTTGGAGTTTGCCTTGCCCCTGCCGTCCACTATCGTTAATTTTAAATAAATAGGGTCAAAATAGAAAAATTAAGCCCCTGTTTGATCCTCATTAAATTAAATTACATTACATTCCATTTTTCTCTCTCCTATTTTCAACCATACAATCTTCCATAAAATAATATTACACGTAAATCGAAAATTTTTCCTTCTTTTTCAATCACTCATTTTTCTAAAAAATACTATTCCTCCTATTTTCATTTTCAGGTAATGAGAATCAAACAGGGGCTAAAAATGGCAAAAATATCTTTCTTTCTTCTCCTCTTTATAAATAGCGTGTCAGAAATTATTTTGTTTGTAACCCACTATCCTAAGCCACAATGGAGTCTTGTCTATGTAGATACGGAATGGAGGTTGAGCAAAAGATTTCGTGGATGACAGGGAACTGAAGAAGAAGATTCTTGACATGTACACGACATCGGTAATGGAGACTCAAATTTCATTTCAACTCTTGTATCATTACAGCCCTGATTTTGTTTTTGTTTTCTACAGCAAAATGGGCGGTGTAGATACATTTCTTGGTGTGACCCACCTATGTGCCATAGATCTGTGGAGATCATAACTAAGCTGCTAAGATTCAAGAATAAATTTAAACTATATTTTTTGGAATTGTAGAGGCAAAACATTACTTTTGGATTTAGGTCCTATGTTTTTAGGTTTTGTGTGGCTAGGTAAGGATGTGGAGTTTTGGTGAAAATTAAAGCTTCAATCACCTTGTAGATCTGTTTAATAAATGGATGTTAGTAAATGTTGTGACATCCTATACAATTTCTGTAATAATTGATGTGCAAGTGAAATGTTCCAATTTTCGCATCTATTTTCTTTCTTATTATCTCGTTGTTCATCGGTATTGGACAGCATTATACAATGTTTGTATTCTAAATTCAGTGGAAAAAACCCCTTAAAAATGAGAAAAAGCTTGTATAAAACGACATTAAAAACGTAAAACATTTTGCTATGCGACCTTGTATTATTGTAAATCTTGTGCATTTGATATATTTGCACAAAATGTCCGTGAAATATGAAGATTGCGATCTACAACACTACCTAATGAACTTGTTCAACCCATACAGACGAAAGATAACAGAAGCAGAAAATAAGAAAACATCAGGCACATCGAATAACACCATTACTAGACCATAATAACAGACATTCAAATTACAAAATAATCCAAGCCCAAAGCAGTACATTAATATACCAAAATGATAAACAAAAAAAATGGCAGGTCCCATATTGTTCTTTCTTCAGTTTGCAGTAGGTAATTCTTGACCTTTACAAACCAACACCAAAACAAAAATAAAAATCAACTTTAATTGCTTTTTCATTAGGTCTTGATTGGTCATCATCAACTCTGTAGTCATTCTCGACGAAACCTTCCACTGGTTCTTTTATTATCTCATCATCATTACGTCTTTCAGTTTGCCCTAGTAATTCATTACCCAATTTCGGGTTATTTTCAACCTGTTACGATTGTACATCACCGACTCCAGCATTGTATATAAGTGTTTTTTCAAATTGAAACCACGCTTTATCTACATTTTAGGTACGTAATCACCAATATCATTCTCCTATAAACCACCTTCATCTACATCAAACACCGAGATGTAGCATCCTTCAATATTACTTTTCACCCCTTCATTATGGGCACTACTCTTCAGAACATCTTGCACTAGGTCTTGTGGTAGTGAATATGTTTCGTTAGGTATTACCACATAAATCTCAACTAACATGTGTCCTTTAACATCTTTCAACATCTCCCTAACATTTGACTTACTACGCAACTTCCTCAAAACACCACCCAAATTACCTGTTCTGCAGCGAGAACTAAAAGTACAGAGGCCCGTAGTCCCCACACACATAAGCAAAAGCATTAATGATCAAACTGTTGGAGACAACTTATAAAAAGAGTTATGTAAGGGTTGGTTTTTGATATATTTGTTTGACCAATTTTAACCCGCAAGAGCGTGATCAAAATACAATTTATATGAATGGAAATTTGGATAGAATTTCGGTATAACGATTACGCAAAACAAGGATTAAGAAGGAGTATAAATAGAGAATAGTTCAAGGCGAGACGTTATCTCTTTCCTTAAGACAAATTGCCCTACTATGGTGCTCACGGTGAATGACACTTGTTTCCCAAGATACAATGGAATTACAACTTGTGGTAGCAGTACTTCAAACCACAAGAAATCGACGAACTTTTGACAGAATTTTCCCTCTACAAAGGAAATACATGAAAAAACTATGGAATTAGAAAGGAGAGAATTGCAAGAGACAAATTAATGATCAATGCAATTGGTGTACCCAAAATCATGTCCATAGGGTTTTATTTATAGATATAGAAATGGTGCAAATGAAGTAGTGTGGGCCAAAATCTTCATCCTTTCGAAAAGTTGTAACACTTGGCCAAAACCTTCATCCTTTCGGAAAGTTGCAACACTTCATTTCTTGCAACTTTGGTCCGTAATTTCTTATTCATCCAAAATTAGTTTCGAGATTCTAAATATACCACAACGATCTACTCGACAAGTAGAATAAGTTGGTCTATTTACTTTTGTAATTTGACCATCGAATCAAGTTCGAATATTTGGTCGAAATTGACACGTAGTCACACCTTTTTATTTTTCACTTTTACACACCTTTTCATGTTCCAATTTTTGGTTAATTATTTGAACCAATTCCTACAATTCCCCACATGAATGGAAATTCGGTTACGCATATGCAAATGCGATGATATGATGCAATATAGAGAGGGTGCGGAAAAATACTGTATTAGGGATGATGGCTTCTGGCCTTGAACCTCCCTTAGTGAAATACTGTTCATCAAAATCCCACAAGCGTACGGATTCGTTGTACAAGTAATAATTGTGATGAAAGAGTTATTGTCCCACAGGGAATAAAGTCTAATTCCAGTGTATTCGATATAATTAAATTCGTGTGATTAACTAAAAGTTGATGTTTGTTTGAATAGCTAATTAAGTTCTATAACTAAATATTGCAAATTTGATGAGAATTTGTTTTAGAATTCAGATGAGTGAATGTATTGGATTTCTGACGCCACTAATTAACCCTTAGTTCTAATTCTCGACTTATAACAATTATCTCAACTCATGCAATTGTAACGATCGATAATTCCACTTTTAATTATTATTCTTTCCTAAGATATGATAAACCTATGATTACCCCGAGACGATCCTATTCCTAATCCGAATTCATATGGCAAACACGCATTAATGTATAGGATTATCACACATGATCGCACACGTTACAAATATTATTCCTAACATTCATTGTCAATGCGTTCCAATAACAGTGTTCTACCTACCGTGAGTTTTTCAACACTACGAATAAGCAACTTATTGTCCTAATGGTGAGCAAACATTAAAATAATATGGATATGCATATTAAAGAAACCACAACACAAGAATTAAGATAAAAACATAACATCTTGAATTAAAAACTAATAGTCAATTAGTTTTGTCATCCATCCAATACAAGATATTTAGCCTAGCATATTAATGTAGGAAAAATAAAAGAAAGACATCACCCAAATCGTTAAAATATGAAATGAATCTGAAATCCTCCACTTTATGCCTTCAATTCCGGATCCAAGTGATGAAGTCCAATGTATGTCTTGCTCTCCTTTTCGTCTTTTCCGCTTCCAAGATGATAAAAATTAGGTTCAAATTCACGTCCAAATTGTCTTCCAGAAGAGTTTGAATCAAATAAGGAAAGTTGCCTTTTCGCGCATGTAATTTTGTCTCTACACAGTTTTCAGTATTTTGATCATAACCTTCTTTTTTAGTGTCCGATTTGGGTGATTCAAAGTGCATTGGAAAGCTAGTTAAAAGAGCTACAAATCTTCTAGAAATATAATTTTTCCAATTCAAACATTCTCCACCTGAAAAATGGGTCTCAAGTTGACCAAAAATCTTGAAGATATCTTATATGATTTGAAGTCGATTTATGGTAATATTCTAACCATATCCCTTTCCCTTTTAACTCCAATTTGCATTCAATTGACTCCTATCAATCTTCAAAGTATCTT